GACTTTTTTGCAGTTGAGTTCACTTATTTGGTTCCCCGGAAACATTTCCGTTGTTACTTGCAGCGTTTCTGTATTTGGTGGTGTTGTGAGTACTTGGAGCACACGTGTGTTGTGGAACTGATGACGATGTTTTTCTTAATTTGCGGATGTTTTTTTGTATTTGCATGCGTTTTTATATTTGCACACGTTTTTTTTTTTTGTATTTGCATGCGTCTTCATCAGGTTGCAGCGCGGTGAGCTCTCTCGGCCACCGTAGCTTAGCTTAGCTTCAACACTATTCATTTGAGTATATACAGCAAAAAAAAAAAAAAAAGTTGCTGCCTTAAATTTTTAAGTACAATCAACTTGGATGCTTAATTCTACTGTTTTGATAACAATCAATAATAGAAGTGTTTTAAATAGTATATATACAGTATATATATGAGACATGAGATAATTTAACACAGCCTCTTGTCCCAGATAGCAAACTGACATTGAATCAGCGTGGAAACATGACATCGAAACAACGTTGATCTGACAATGTTTTGCTCATCGAATTAACGTTGAACCAACGTCAGACGCGTCATTCTTTCAAAACTAACGGAAAATCAACTTGAAATCAACGCGTTGTTTCAACGTTATGAAAGCAAACCAATTTTCGAATTTTCATTTAGCTTTGAAGAATGCCGCGTCTGACGTTGGTTCAACGTTAATTCGATGAGCAAAATCAACGTTGTTTCAATGTCATGAGAGACGTCGTTTCCACGTTGATTCAATGTCAGTTTGCTGTCTGGGGTGACACTTTGCAGATTCTGCTCTGACGTTCATGTGAGAGGGTGTGAGTTTTTGCTTTCAAAACTAGCTTGCTATTGCTAGCCTCTACGGAACTAACTGCACACCCTAGCTTTAAGAATAGTCTGTAGCACCTTGACATTTGGGTAGGGTAAGCTGAAAAGAGTATAAATATTAAAAAGCCAAGTAAACTTTAAGTCTACATTCATTGCATGCAGAATGCATCCACAAGGTCTGGAAATGGTCCAAGCATTTATTAAATATAAATATGTTCTGCAATCAGTCCTTTCATGCTTTACAGTATTTGTTCAACCACTAAAACTCTTATAAAAACACACTAAATCAAACCTCCCCAACATACCACAGCCCTTCATGAGGACATCAAGCAGCCAAAACATCCTTGCAAAAACACAACCATCAGCTTCAAAGACTCAACTCCCTCTTAGAAGAAGCGGAGCGCAAATAAAAGATAAAGCCTTTAGCCATCCCTGTTTATCATCGTAGCCTTTGATTCAATCTGTGAGCGGCTTTGGTGGGGAACGCAAGTCACCGGGCTTCCTAGAGACAGTCTTCTGGCTTCGCCTCAGCGGAAGTGACCTTTTTAGGGGCTGCTTAAAAATGCAGAGCCGCTGACCTGCGGTGGAATTACTGCATCCCTGTGGCCGCAGACAGCTTGGCCTCGCCTGGGCGCTGCTGCACAAAGGCCCTGCATTGGGGAACAGTGCTGTTAATCTACCCAAAGCTCCAGCACAGGGGCTTTTAGCCACAGACTCAGGGGTACAGCCACACTCCAGGGGTCTCTTTTGGCCCCTGATCAGACAGGCGAGGGGTCGGCAGGGGCTGTGCTGTCCTGTGTACCTTTGCCCTTGCACCAGATGCTGTTGGGCCCTTTGGGGAATGAAGTAGCTCTGGAAGGGGGCACCAAAACACCAGAACCAAGGCGAGAGGAGATGGAGGATTGAAACGTTCCGTTGGGGGCGGATGGCATTTTAGAAAGTGCTTGCGAAGGACTTACTGAATTATAGTCCCTGCTTCTGCTGTGCCTGTGAAAGGTTTACAAAAGAAAGCACAGGCAGAGATTAAAAGCCCAGCTGGAACACCCAGGGGAAAGGTTGAGGGATTAAATCACAACAGAATTCTGTTCAGAACTACTTCTATCTCCAGAATATGTACTGTAAATTGATGGTTATCTTGTTTTTCTTCTTTAGCCAGATATTTTATTTTTAGGAGGAGAGACAGTTGTGCCCAGCTGTATCCAGGTTTTCCAGTATCTCTCAAAACACATTCAGCCACAGGGATTTTGATTTCTCCTCTTCTATGCTTGATTAATGCTGTCTTTATTTTGCCAAGTGTACGTCTTAAGCGCCTCTAGTTTACTTTGAAAAAAGGTGATTTGCAGGTCTTTTACATAACAGATGACTAGGCACTTAATAACATAGCTGTTATAACAAGCCCATTGTGGGAGTTTGTAAATATCAAATACGTTATACGCATTGCATTAAAATAACAAGTGAAAAGTTAGGTCAGTGCCTCATGCTTGATGATTTTCTCCTGCCAGTATTCCAACAAAGTCTTTTGTTAAACATCTGTTGAGGTGCAGTCAGCAATAACACACTCAGAGGACACCTGGCTCTTGTATCTGCTGATTCGCAATCACTCCATGCATTGTCCTTAGCATTACAAACACTCATCATTAAGAGGACAAGCCATTAGCAACATGTTAATGAAGAGTGCCATTTACACTAATAAGAGCTGCGTGGTGACTGAGAATCGGTGCAAGGTTTGTGGCTCATTTAAAGCCAGGTTTAACTCTGAAAACATATTTCTATGTGACTCATTTCAATGCATTTCAGTTAATGTCAAACACTTTGGCATTGCTTCAGGCTGCTCATAAGGACACTGGTGAGCGTAAAGGCAGAATGGGGGGCTAGGGGTGGGGGGATCCTACTGTGGTGGACTCCATTTAACGGCCTGGTTCTTCCCAGGCAGGAACCCCAAATCAAAGCTCTTCTTATCAACCGGAGGTACCCCGACAGTGACCTTGGCCCTTGTTGAGGAGGGCCACATGTACTGTACACATGCAGGGGGATTATGGGATGAGAGAATGCCACTGGCTGTGAAATTGCGTGATTTTTATTAGGGTGCAAAGGGAAAGCAGCTGTGTATAATTCTGGGTATTAATCCCAGGGACAGGGACTAGAATACATTTTTGTGTGCAATTGTGTTTTCGTAGACCCGTGGGCATCTGTTATGCAAAAAAAAAAAGAAAAAAAAACTGTGGGAACTATAATTTTACATATCTGCGCAAGAGCCTTTTTACCACAGAAATTTGGAAAGGTTAGTTTAAATAAAATAAAATCCAATGAAGTCTAAATCATAAAAAGGAAATTGCTGATATATGGCAGAGTTATTGTCTGGATTTACCATAGGTTTTGCTGACGTCTTGGAATGTTTTTTGACCATACGTCAACATCCGCCTTTTTAGGGTACCCTTAAACGTCGGTTAGATGACGTTATCGGATCCTAACCCTACCCCAGACCTAAACCTACCACTAAACCAGCCCATTCTCATCCTTTAGCGTCACATAGAACGCTATATGACAAAACGGCGCTATACTACGCACATGGCACCTTTTATCGTTAATATTCACGCGAACCCAAGGCATCATAAATCATTTAGCGTAATATGAGACTACCCTAACCTACCCCACGCTAAACAGCCCATTCTCACCCCCAAGGAGTCACCTAAATGACTCCTTGGGAAGCATTTTGACCATGCTTCAATATCTGACGCTTTAGGCACCCTTTAGCGTCAGTTAGATGACGCCCTAGGATCGAGTGTAACCCTACCCCCACCCCAGACCCAAACCTAACCGCGTCATCTAACTGACGCTTTCCTTTAGCGTCAGTTAAATGGTGCGGTGTCATTAAGGATCGCGTCATGTAACTGACGCTAAAGGGCGGGTACAGCGTCAAATATTGAAGCATGGTCAAAGGTGACGCCTTGGTGTGAGAATGCGTTGCGCTAAAGGATGAGAATGGGTTGACCTACCCTGTCACCTTACCGATGTTAAAGGTAAAGCGTCAGTTGTATGACGGCCCGGGATCGTCATGTAACCGACGTTTAAGGGTACCCTAAAAAGGCGGATGTTGACGTACTGTATGGTCAAAAGACGTCCCAAGACGTCAGTTATATGACTTCTTGGGATAAGACTGTGTTAGTTTTGCAGTCGACTGTGAGCCTCAGCTGGGTTGGATCTCTATCAGTTTGTGGTATTATGAGAGTATTGTTGGTGCATTTGAATCCTAATCCTGCCCTTCACTCCCCCTGATAAAGCTCTATACTTCAGGGAAGACTTAATCCTTTGTGTAGGGTTTATCATCTCTCTTCCAGCTTGAGAAAAGTGAGAGCTCCTGATGGTAATTTCCATAAGGGGCAAAGGACTAGTGATATAAATGATCATATTTATTTTGGCAACTAACAGTGGTGATTAGATGCTGCCGATTGATATTTCTCTTGCATGTGAACTGAATGCTCATATAAGATGGAGGGCCTGTGTGCTTCCCTATCTTGTTCAGGCTGGTGCTCTTTCATACTGGATTCAACACTCTCATAGTTGAAGAAGGAATGTCGAAGATTGATCCAGCCCAAGATCAGAAAGCCCATCTCTTTCCCAGAGCAGCAGGTGACAGGCAAACACACGGCACAAATGCCACCAAGGCTGCAGGAGCCGAATCATCTCTGGAGGCAGAACTGGCTCATCCAAGCACTACAGAGCAGCGAGGCTTTAATACATATTATTCACAAAGAGCATGATTGATAATGCAAATGTGTCCAGCTGCTAGGGTTGGCAGGCAGAGCGGGTTAGCAGCGCCGCTCCCGGGGTTTTGCCTCGAATCGCAGATCCGCATTAGATCTGTGTCCCCTGACACAGAAGTGGCGTGTGGGAAGACCTCACTTCTGTAGATGCTTTCTCCCAGACGCTTGTTTGTGTCCTTACTTATAATCAGTGATCCGTATGGTACTGAGAGGTCCACTGGGAGAATGGGATGTGCAATGGCTTTGTTTTCATCTATCAAAATGCCTGTCCATACAACATGAGAAATCTGCGTAAACCTGAAATCCAATCGCCATGCTTAGTAGCACAGCACCCCCTTAGGACCAGAACATGCAATGTAACTAAAATTCCCTTAAAACAATGAAACAGAAAACATTAAAAGACATCAAATTATAGTGGAATCTCACATTTAATGCTCTTTATTGGATATAAATAATACATTTGACAACATTTTCAAGAAATGATAAATGTGTTGTCCAAATAATATACAAAGTATATTTGTAATAAAAGTAAAAGTAAGCAGTGGTTGTGAAGGCTAAAAAGATCTACTAAAGTCTTTAGAAGTCAATCGCAGTTCATGTTATGAAGCATTAAGTAAAATTTAAACAAGAAACAAATAGTGGGATAGTAAAATAGTGAATATTGGGATATGATAAGAGTCATTATAGTCTTTTTTTTTAATTGCTAACTAACCAAATCTCATCTGAAAAAAAAATAATATTTTACTTGATGGCACTTTTGTATGAATGTGAAGTGATTTATATGAAAACATGATTTAAAAAAAAAGTAAATAAAGAAAGGAAGCATGAAGTTCCACCCCTAACCCTAACAAATTTGGGATTGTACAAATTCATACAAATTAGCCACCACTTCGCTAAAAAAAAAAAACACAGTTTGGCTACAAATTGTACTGTGTTGATATAACCTACAATGTATCAGTTCCTGTGTAATGCTTTTCTTCAGAGCAGCATTTTAAATCCTCAAACAGGATGACTGAAATAAGACAAAATAAATTAATTCATTCATTTGAAATAATAGTGACAACATATTGTGGCACTTACTGCATTAAAGATGTGTTATGTTTTGGCTCAATCATTACAACTTACAAAATCACTGTGCACATTTTTATTTAAAGAAAATGATAAATGGTTTGTTTGTTACTTACTTTTACTGCTTGTCTGCCTTCTTCAAGAAATTTGACTATTAAAAAAAGAATAGATAATGAATAAGACTACTAACTGGTTAAAACAATCTGCAGGCCAAGTAATATAGAATTCTTGAGGAACAGTACTTGTACGAAACGTCCCTCATAAACTCACATTCTGTCCTTTAAGTGGTTTACTGTAGAACTCTGTGTCCAGTTGCTGACTTGATCTTCGACACTCATTTGCAGGTGCAGCTACACAGAATACATATACACATTTAGCACCACAGGGAAACATCCTCACCTCATCCCTTCAATAAACTATCAGACACTTTTTTCACGAGTATAGACCATTTCACAAGATGTAACCAACACTGGTCCAGAAGCACTTACTGTTTCAGTTTTTTAACACTACATAAAAGCTGGGATAAAATACAACCAACAGAACATTTAAAATTGAATCAAAAAGTTAAACAAGCATCTTTAAGATGTTTTCTTTACATGTGAAATAAAGAAAACAGTTACAAACTGAAACAGGAAGTGTTTCTGGACCAGTGTTGTTTACATCTTGTGAAATGGTCTATACAGAGCTTAGTAAAGGGTAGCTGGCTCTATATTGGTACGTTGACAGTCACATAAATCGCAGAGACACTAACAGAAGTGTATAAAAGGTACTATGTCTTCTCAAAGACCATTTTACCCCAACACAGAGTCTGAAACCCTTATGTAAAAGCCATTCTTCTCGCTAACAGTTCCCCTGAGACAAACAAAAAAGCTGCATTGCCACAGATACAGATACAGAGATGTAACAGCAACAGAGAAAGTTTTCTTGCTTTCATGACAGGGCACTTACTTGGCGTGTGATGAATAATGCTGATTTTATCTGATGGAGAGAAAAGATGCCTGTTAACTGACATACAGTACTATATATTTCCATTTCGTCTTGCTCACCCACAGTGACTTTATTTTATCTGTCATATTCTCGCTTTAATCTTTACAGCATTTCTCGATGATCCATGAGATATTTTGAGATTGATTAATCATTGTTCAGAATGATCAACACAAGCAGAGAAACAGTCTTTTGATGTCTACCCAATCAGAACTTATAAAAACACCTTTATGAAAACTCTTGGAATCAAATAGAAATTTGGGGCCTTGTATCAGACTTTGTATGAGCGATGTATCTCAAATTTATTGAACAGATGAGCGTAGAATAAACCTACCATAGACACTTTCATCATCCTCTCTGTTGCTGATGATTGTTGCCCTCAACTGCTGCATTTTCTCCTGTGGAAAACAATTTGTTGAAGAGGCTTTAATAGGAGCATACCAAGAGGATTTAAACATGTATTTGTTGGTAGCTTATACAGCACACATACACACATGCACACAGCCTACATATATATATATATATATATATATATATAAATTAATTATTAATTATAATACATACACATAATATATACTATGAGTATAAATAATATTTGTGACTATTATGTAAAATAATTGATATTATTTTTTGTAAAATAATATCAGTCCCTTTATACACAGTTTAATTACACTTTATTTTGACAGTCCACTTTAGGCAATCTACCAACTATGAGTAACTTTGCAACTACATGTCAAATAACTCTCATTATTAGTAGACTGTTGGGTTAGGGTTAGTAGAATAAGTTGACATATACAGTAGTTGCAAAGTTACTTATAGTTAGTAGAATGTCTAAAGTAGACTATCGAAAAAGAAAG